CTTGAAGTAGCAAGTTGCGTTCAAGTCTGCCCATGAAAATATTGGCATAAGATGGTGCCATTTTCGTACCCATAGCATTGCCATTAACCTGCAGGTAATGTTCTCCATTAAACATGAAGTTGTTATACTTGAGAACATGTTCAAGGAGCTAGGCAAGGGACTCGGTAGAAGGAATTTGTATGGATCTACTATCCCAGACTTCTCTACAGGCTTCGATACCCTCATGGTGCGGAATATTGGTGTACAAAGATGTGACGTACATAGTCACGAGAAGGGTATGATCTGGAAGGCCAGTAGAGGGCGTCTTGTTAATGTAGTCCGTGGTGTCCTTGAGATAGGATGGTAAATTCTCTACGTGTGGACGGAGATGTAAATCAATGTATTCAGAAATTTTCTCCGTGGGGTGTCCAATTGCGCCAACTATACGGCGGCCTGGCATACCTTCTTTGTGTATCTTAGGAAGCAGATAAAATTGTCCTGGTCTACAGTCAATAGGATTGAGTGTCTCATAGACGTTGATACCAATCTCGTTTTTCTCAAACATTTCGTCAAGAGTTTTGGTGATGGCGGTGAAGAATTCTTTAGTAGGGTCAGAGTCCAGTTTCTTATAGAAACGTTCGTCTGAGAGTTGTCTATGGGCCTCCGCCATGTACGTCTCTTTAGCAAGTACTACTACTGCCTTTTTCTGCTTTCTTGATTACTATGTCACTATCGTCCGTCCTTGGCGATTGTCGTTAAGCGCTTGAAGCGTGTTCTAAACAGTTGATGTCACTCTGTCTTTCTTGGGATATCCACAAGTTAGGACAATTTGAGAGTGATATCACGTCTTTAGAATCATCCCTCACTGATAGCATGTCCCAAGCTGATCTTGATGAAGCCCATAATATTATTGACACCTATAATATGGCCCTAACAAATGAATTCAACGAGACTCAAAGGAAGAAATTTCTCCGAGACAGTGTTCCACAGACCAGGAAAAACCGGTCAGAGGTCCGAGTTAACAAAACACATAAACCCCGCTCGAGACGCTTCAAGTGCTTAACGACAATCGCGAAGGACGGACCCTCAGAAACTCCTGACGTCTGCCCAGTGCTCAATAAATCTAGTGTTCCTCTCTCCGAATCGGAGACCTCACTTCTTTCCAAGGGGCGGAATTTCTGTCCCACGCCACATGAGGTCGACGAAAAACAAGTCAGAGAGGACACCCGAGCATTCTTTCGGAGTCTTCGGTTGAAGGAGCACTTTTCTAGAAAAAACTCCGAAGTTGACTCATATGACTCTTCTCAGCCACAATTGCACGACCTAGAGGAACACAAACTCTATCGGCCCAAAAGTGACTGGGAACCTGCACCGGGCAAATGCGGAGCCCTTGAGTCGTATATTGACGCCGTTGAGTCAGACATAGAAAAACTCCTTTCAATGCCAGACAAGGCTCCGACAATTTGAGTAAGGAAGAGAGATCCGCCTTATTATCATTAAAGAATCGGGATGACATAGTAATCAAGAAAGCAGAAAAAGGCTCTACAGTAGTAGTACTTGCTAAAGAGACGTACATGGCGGAGGCCCATAGACAACTCTCAGACGAACGTTTCTATAAGAAACTGGACTCTGACCCTACTAAAGAATTCTTCACCGCCATCACCAAAACTCTTGACGAAATGTTTGAGAAAAACGAGATTGGTATCAACGTCTATGAGACACTCAATCCTATTGACTGTAGACCAGGACAATTTTATCTGCTTCCTAAGATACACAAAGAAGGTATGCCAGGCCGCCGTATAGTTGGCGCAATTGGACACCCCACGGAGAAAATTTCTGAATACATTGATTTACATCTCCGTCCACACGTAGAGAATTTACCATCCTATCTCAAGGACACCACGGACTACATTAACAAGACGCCCTCTACTGGCCTTCCAGATCATACCCTTCTCGTGACTATGTACGTCACATCTTTGTACACCAATATTCCGCACGATGAGGGTATCGAAGCCTGTAGAGAAGTCTGGGATAGTAGATCCATACAAATTCCTTCTACCGAGTCCCTTGCCTAGCTCCTTGAACATGTTCTCAAGTATAACAACTTCATGTTTAATGGAGAACATTACCTGCAGGTTAATGGCAATGCTATGGGTACGAAAATGGCACCATCTTATGCCAATATTTTCATGGGCAGACTTGAACGCAACTTGCTACTTCAAGCACCATTTAGGCCCCTTAGCTGGTTGCGTTTCATTGACGATATAGAGATGAAGTGGGTGGAATGTCGCGAGAGCCTCGAGGCATTCATTTCGTTTGCCAACACCTTTCATCAGTCTATCAAATTTACAGTAGACGTATCTAATTCGAAAAACATATTCCTAGATACTACATCTACCCTGACTGATGGTGAAATCGAGTTCAGTCTCCATACGAAACCCAGAGATTCCCATCTACATCTTATGCCAACTAGCTGTCATCCCCCACACACATTTAAGGATGTGTCTGTGGGTCTAGCCACCAGAATTCGGCGCATCTGTTCATCCCCTGCCTTATATCAGGAACAAAGCGGTCTCCTGAAGTCCCACTTATGCAAGAGAGGCTACAATGCCCGCACCGTACAAACTGCTATTGATGAGATGGCGGGACATGACAGGCAAAACCTATTACGCTACAAGGAAAAAGACAATAGCGGCAGGGTCCCTCTGGTAACCACATACCATCCCGTCCTTAAGAACCTCAGCGGTATCCTTCAAAAGAACCTGCCAATTCTCCACTCAAATAAACGAATGGCAGAGGTCTTTAGGGAGCCCCCATTGGCTGCATACAGACGCCCGAGGAACCTAAAGGACATGGTAGTAAGAACCAGATTGGACAATCCATTACCTAACGGGGGCTTTAAAACTTGCTCTATCAGAAGATGTCTTCTCTGTAAGCACAGCTCTGACACAGACAGCTTTAACAGCCCCGTTACAGACCGCAGCTACAAAATACTAGGGAATTTGTCCTGTCAAACAGACAACTGCATTTATTTCATCAGTTGCAAAGTTTGCTCCAAACAGTATGTTGGTGAAACAGGAGATCTCCGCAGGAGAGTCAATAATCACCGTTCTACCATTAGGACCAAAAAACTCAATGAACCCGTTGGGGAACATTTCAACCTTGAAGGTCACAAATGGGAGGACATGACAGTAGTGGTTATTGACCATAATCCAAGATGGACAGACGCTCAGAGAAAAGGCAAGGAAAAGTTCTGGATGCACAGGCTGAAGTCATTCCGCCCTAATGGTATTAACAATCTTAATGACTTCACCAGGATGAACGTGAACTAGACCCAATCCCGGATTGTAACAAACAAGTTCATTCTCTCTATATAGTGTAAACTTTACCGTTAATTCGCATTAGCAATTCTGGAACAACCTACCAAATATTTACAGCTTACATTTTTGTTTATTTCTTGTATCAGATTTCCAAATTTATAATATATCCAAATTCATATTTTAAAATTGCCCTTCCATATTATCTTTAATTTCTTTTATCATGTAAAGTTACGCTATTTTGAGAGAATAACACAATGTACGATTTACTGCTTGGTCGTTATTAATTAGCGATAATAAATTCGTTCAATTATGTAAGTCGCACTTACCCAGAGTACACCCGATAGACCGGATGCAATTCATAGCGCTCCGGATTTCTTTGTTCACAACTGTTTATAAACTTCAAATTAAACATGTAATACTGTAAATATTTAGTGTTTGGTAGTTTAGTAGTAGTGCTAGTTGTTTTTGTTTCTCTATTTCTTTTGTTTTTATGACTTCTTAACTTTTTTCTTTGTCCTGAGGAAGGGACAGGTCGTCCCGAAAATTTGACAATTATTATTGTTCGTGTCGTTGGTCATTTTTAGTGTTATATATATATATATATATATATATATATATATATATATATATATATATATATATATATATATATATATATAGAAACAGAATAAAAATGAATGTATGTTTTAAACGAGCTAGGCATGCTCAAAGACGAATTTTGCTTTGCAAGCGATATAAAGGATTGACAAAAGATTTTTTATGTACCAAAGGGCTAGTTGTACTTAATATGTGTACACTGGGGTGTCCTGTTTGATGATAGAAAACGTTATGTTCAGGTGAATTCGTGGAAATAGGAGTTTAGATTGCTAGAGTCTGCTTGAAGTTGCTAATGCTGGTAACAAGTATTACCATATTGGCCAAGAGGCAAGTGTTGGTACCAAGTGGCAAGCAGCTAACTTGTTTGTGAAGCCAAGAGGCACCACATCGAGTAAATATACAGGCATTAGAGATTTCTCTCTGTGTACTTAATTGTAGCACTAGGCAAGTGACAAAAACAATATCTGTATATATTGAATACCTTACACGCTAGCAAGTGTCCGTTGTATTTGTATGTTTTGCGTTCATAATCATCCCTGTAAGACTTGGGAAAACAAAATACGATCCCAAAGAGATCACTCGGGTCTCATTTGTTACAATAAGTAAGGGTGATTTTACCAGATTTTTGAAATTCTTTGGCAAAATAGCTTCAATTTTCAGTTATTTTTTAAAATATTTCTATGGATCCTTTACAGTGCTGTATTATACTCAGGTGACTGTTAAGGTCCTTGGGCCTCTTGTTGATAACAAGATGGAAGTTCCTAGGTGAGCAGACTATAATTAGTAAACATTTTGTTTGAAACGTTTTGAAATATGTCGTGCATTGGAATCTTTGATGTGGGAAAGGGAAGAAGGAAAAGAACTCTGAATGAGAATATATTGAATGCATTGTTTTAACTTCTTGCGTGTGTCAAATGTCGGATCGATTCTGACAACGTATGTCTTCATCTTTGATTATTTTTGGTATTTAATATCTTAGAATACTGAGTATATAGTCGCATGATTCTTAAATGTTTTTGGACTGAACAACATTTCCTTATTTATTGTATACGTGTGGTTATCTGAGATCCTTTTTCATTAATTTAAATCATGCTTAATGTTTAGGTTACAATTTTGTCAGCTAATAATGTAGTTGATTCTGAGTACTGTGGATTTTCCAAATCAACACAAAAAGCAGTAAAATCATGCCCTAAGAATAAAGCATCATGGAGTAAAGCTGCAATTAAGCTGGGCTGTTCGAACCATAAAGACAAATGTGGCGGAAATTTGAAATATCACTGCGTTATTAATCCTTGGCAAAATGAAACGGTGGAAGTTTGTGCTCCTGCAACAAGTATTCGTTCAGGTAACGTTTAATTCTTGACATGTGTTAAAATCTCAAACACTTAATACAGAATTTTCTTTGTGCTTATGATTGCATGAACGGGTTCATAACGTCATATTACAAATTAAGATGTGCGTTATTTCCGAAAGCTTAATGTTCTTATCTTTTTTCAAAACTATTTTCTTTACCCTTTTTACATCTTTTCTGGCCCAGTGGTTCTTGAGAAGAAGAATTTTGAATGACCTTTTCCAACTTTTATTATTTCATAATTATCTCCCGTTGAAAGGGGTTGTGGCACTTCCGTAGAACAAATTTTAATTCCCTTTACCAATTGATATTGACTGCGCCAAGTTTGGATAAAATGGACCAGAGTTTTTGGAGAAGATGAAAATGTGATAAGTTTACAACAATGACAACAGACTACATAAAAATTGTTGTTCAGAAAAGCTCAATTTTTATTATTTCTTAATTATCTCCTGTTGAAAGGGGTTGTGGCACTTCCTTAGAACAAATTTTAATTCCCTTTTCCAATTGATACTGACTGCGCCAAGTTTGGTTGAATTGGTCAAGAGTTTTTTGGAGAAGATGAAAACTTGATAAGTTTACAACAATGACAACAGACTACATACAATTTTTTGTTCAGAAAAGCTCACTTGAGCCTTTGGCTCAGTTGAGCTAAAAAGGTACTGACCAGCTATTTAAAGAAATAAATAAATGAATAATAGTACACAAATTATGGTTTGAATTTCGCATGTGAGTTAAGGCTAGGTATAGGCGTTTCTATGCAAATGAGCTAATAAAAATGCATAAGAGTTATATTTATTTTTCAGAGAAAGTTTTGATTTATTTCCTTATGCATTCTTAGTACCCACGATATGTTATAGCCAGTACACATTATGACGTCATATTATGACGTCACTGATCTAACCTACTGAGGTAATAAATCACATCAACAAAATAGCTTCGGTGCAAGGGATTACCCTATTTATTTTTATGTAAAAATTGTATAAGAAATTGGAGAATATTCTATAGATTAATAAAACTGCTGCACAAATCCTTGGCATTTTCTCATTTGATCGGAATTTGAAGAAACTTATACCGGACGGTACATTTTTACCCTTATTCAACTAAAAACATTACGAATAGAAATTATACAACTGAGCTGTTGATATTTGTGCAGCAATACCAGCGAACTTTGGAATATATTGCTTCTTAATACACCTTGTTTCAGTTAAATAAAATAGAGCATGCCCTTGCGTCGAAGCATTTTTTTTTTATTTCCATTATAATCTTGTGTAGTAAAGAACAATGACGTCATACATGTAGATTGACGTCATAATGTGTACTGGCTATCTCAGGTCGTGGTTTCCAAGTATGTGTTAGACAATAAGTTTAAACTTTCTCTGTATAATAGATATAGTCCTTAGGCATTTTAATTAGTTTATTTGCATACAAATGCCTAAACCTAGCCTTAACCCACCTGCGTTAAAATATTGCAACAGAATGTTTTGGTACTCGCATTCAGGTTGTATGATTTTTACAAGCAGAAAGAGGAAGTGTTAAGGGTTTATTATTTAAAATCAGCAATACGAAAAATACTATTGCTGTCTTTCAAGTAAATCTTTCTGATCATTCAAGGTAACACTTTTGGGGCCAAAGCTACATTATACATATATCACATGGCCTCGAGGGTGCTAAAATGTTTGCCCCAAGGTTACAGGAAATTCTTGGAGTGTAATGAATAACATTCCAGGACTTTCCTGTCACCGAGAGGCAAACATTCTGGTATAGTCACCAAAGAAACCATGTGGTATATGTTATAAAACATTTTTAAAATTTAAAAATCGTCTTAACTGTTTAAGTATAGACAATTAATCCAAAATGTTTTCATGACGTTAAGAATTACGCTCCGTTGTTTACGTTCGCTTAACAAGCGACGTCATTAAATCTCAACCCCGAGCTACAAATGCGTAACACAAAACACGTGAAAGTGATCGAGAGGGTGTTATAACTCACTGCTTCCGGCGTGTGACAATAAACATATATCACATGGCTTCGAGGGTGACATACAAGAATGTTTGCCCCAAGGCGACAGGAAAGTGCTGGAGTGTTATGTCACCCGATGCTGAAGGTAGAGGGTGACATAACACTCCAGGCCTTTCCTGTCACCGATGGGCAAACATTCTGGTTTAGTCACCCGAGAAGCCATGTGGTTTAGTCCCCCGAGAAGCCATGTGGTATATGTTATATAACATTTTTAAAATAAAAAAAAATCGTCTTAAATTGTTTAAATTTAGACAAATAATCCAAAAATGCTTTTATGACGTTATGAATTACGCTCTGTCGTTTACGTTTGCTTAGCAACCGATGTCTTTAAATCTTGAACCCGAGCTACAAATGCGTAACATGAAAACACGTGAAAATGATCGAGAGGGTGTTATAACTGTTTCCGTCGGGTGATATAACTGTTTCCGGCGTGTGACATAACTGTTTCTAGTGTGATTCAGCATTAATCAGAGTTTATAGTGAAATGAAATATATGGAGATAACAAACAGTATTCAAACTCAAAAGTTCATTAAACAATACAAAATAGGAGCAGAGCAAATACGGACCTCCAAACATTAGAGGTGGGATCAGAAGCCATGGAGGAGTGAGCATCCCCTGCCGAGCGGTCACATCCGCCCTGTGCTCCTTGTCATGATTGGGAAATAACGGAAAAATCCGTCGTGTGTAATTCAGTGTGTAAATAATAGCCTAACAATTAGTATGAAAAACGTCAGTCAGCATTTGACTCAATGATAAATTGTATTTGCTGACAAGGTCACTGTATCGACCATAGAACGTACGAAACGATGACTTTAAACGAGACAGCTGATATTCTTGTTTCGTCAACTTTTTTGTCAATAATTTACCTCGTTTTAGAAATTGTACATACGTAGAGTATGCTCTTGCGTATCGAATCAACTGAGAGATATATACCACTTATGCAGGTGATGAAGGTATATTGCTGCATAAGTAGGGGAAGTTGACGATTGAAAAGTTAAAGTCATCACGTTTATCATAAAGCTTGGTTGTTAGATTACCATTAAAGTCTTTTTCAATTAAAATATCCAAATATGTAACAGATGTGTCAGACTCTGTGGTATCTTTTATCTCAAGCTCACCGGTATATATCGTATCGACATAAGAATGGAAATAGCTATTGTTTATTGACAATACGTCCTCAATATATCTAAATGTCGAGTTGAAGGCCACAGCAAGTGTTTTCTTCTTTTCACGTTTAAGAATTTGGACAAATTCTGCTTCATATTGTAACCAAGCGGAGATGGAAAACGCAGGTTCAGTTTATAAATTTATTAGGAAAAGAAAAAGCAATGGCAGATCTACAAATACAAAAAAAAAACAAACATATATACCATATCATAATACACACAGACTCTGAGACAAAATACTTTTATTTCCTATTAACTTCAAAAATAAGAAAATTTAAGTGTACTAAGCCCAAAACGTCATTTTCATAGTTTAAAATACCCTTCTTTCAAAAATATGAAAAATACTTGAGCTTATAACTTGGACTTAATAAATCAAATACAAAAAAATTAATAGATTAAGAAAATTACCTTTCAAGTGGTGACAACGGGCAGCTGGTAATAGGTAAATTAAATTTCCCGCACTGACAGGGATGGGCCCATGCGTCAGTATATATAGCAGAAAAACCGGTTATACAAGGGGGTACAAATTTATTGGCCAATGAGATTTTGTGAGTAGAATTCATGAATGGAGACTACTACCAAATATGGCATAAAGTAAATTATGGCTCAGTAAGTTATTCAATAAAGATAAAAAATTATTTTAAATAAATATGACTCTGCCACAATATGAATACAAAAAAGTCTGCTAATAACGGGGCGCAATTGGTACCCATGGGAATTCCAATAGATTGTTGGAAGACCTCGTCTCCAAAAACCACATAGATATTGTCAATCAGAAACTCAAGCATCTTTTTAATGTCAACTTCAGAGTACTTGTATGTACAATCAGAATGTTTTTTTAGCAAAATAATTTTGCAAATGACCAATGACAAGGTAAGTAAATTGATGAGTTCCAGTTTTATTGAAAAAGCAGCGGTCAATGATATCAAAAAGCCTTGACTTTAATTTATCGTGGGGAATGGTTTTGTATAAAGTTGAAAAGTCGTAACTTTTTAAGCTGTTGATTCTGGTAAAATCTTGTGATTTCAAATTTTCCAAAAGTTCCTTGGAATTTTTAAGTATCCACATCTGATTTGCACCACTTCTCGAATATATTGTTGCGCAGTACTCTCACTACTGGACGAAAAAAGTGCTGAAAATCCCAAATTTTACTGATAATGTTTGATAATTACTGATACGGTGCTGTTCTTGCTGATGAATACTGATATTTACTGTTATTATTACTGTCGTTGCTGATAATTTTAGTTGTTTCTGATAAATACTGATAATTACTGTCGTCTTTACTGTGGAGTCTGATAAATACTGTTGATGTGCTGTCGATGCTGAGATTTACTGATAATTACTGTGGTCATTGTTTTTAATCAGGGAAGGAACTAAAATAGCCTAAGATATGATTATTTGTTTTAAAGAAAGTATTTTATCAACAAAATCATTACAGTATTCTAACAAAAAAAAATTATTCTAGAAAAAAAAGTCACATTTTATTTGTTTTCATATTTCATGTATTAATTTTATTATAATCATTTTTACATCATAATGTTAAAATTAAATCATAAATGGTTGTGTTTTTCTTTACCTTTATATTTCTCCTTTCACAAAGTTTTCAATATCATTGTGTTGTTATTGCAGTGGTTTTTCTCCCCAAGTACTTTTTAAAACAAGTTTTTATTTTTAAAGGTTAAAAAAAATCCCATCTCATATTTTTTCCACGTGTATTTGTATTGTCATCAAAAGCTTTTAGAGGGCATCTTTAATATAGTCAATGGTTGTTATCGTCAATTTATTTTTTCGTGTGGAGAACTGAACATGTATGAGCTCTATAAATTGAGAACTCCCCCCCCCCCTCTATTTACATACAACTCTCATTTTAAGAAGACACTTTAGCCAGTATTAATATATATCACAAAAAAAATCATTCTGATTTTATGTTGTGTACACTTTGTCCTTTTATTGAAGAATGTGACAGGTGTAAATAATGAAAATAAAACATCTTTAATTTGTAGAATAATCTCTTTTATATACATGCATATAGCCAGTGCGCTCTAGTTCTTTGATTATGTCCTGGATGCGAATTTGATATCATTGTGTGGTATCGACGCTTTCTATCTTACTTTTTTTTTTTTTTTTTTTTTTTTTTTAATTGTGAAGCCATCAGTACACTATAAATCTTATGCAGTGTGATTTTCAATCAATGACATACACGTTTTTCTTTAATTCTTTGTTAATAGTACATAAATCTGCGTTAGGTCTATGGACATACGCCAGTATCAGGGAGATCAATAAATAACTACTTATACATGTTATACGCGGTCAGTCAGTTAAAACAAAATAAAATAAAACAAAACTTGAAGTTACTTTCGTCCATTAATGCCGTCTAGCTAAATTGTTGTTTTTGGAACACACATGTCAACCACGTGTTAAAAGTTCTACTTTCGTTTTGAGCATCGGGTCAATTATTAGTACATGTATTCTGTGTATCGTGCGACATGAATTTTGTAAAATTAGAAATAGTTTTGTACAGAGATTATGATGTTATTTTATTCCATTTTCTCCTTGTCGGAGACCTTTGTATAAAAGAACAGTACGGGCTGGGCGCTTACCGACTTGATTATGCTTTATTGTAGCACAAAAAGGGGGGGGGGGGGTAAAATACTGTTAACTTAAAACTGATACGCGCAAGGTTGATTCTTTAGTTTTATGTTTAAGAAGCCATACATGTTATAATTACTTATTACATATTTTTTATATACATGAATAAAATTATTTTAGAGAATCAGTGAAGGATACCAAATTCAGAACTATAACATTTATTCATGAGTGCGATAAACAACGTCATGTTACTGTCATTCAAAATTCATAAAAGATTTTTTTTTTCACGGATTCTGAGCGATGTGGAGTTTAATTCCCTGTTTCTGAATTGTGAACAGTTAATGCTAATATAATTTCAATAATTGCTTTCAGTAACCATCTATTTTTTTTTTTTTTTAATTTATATGTACATTATGCATGAAATGTTTTAATTATAAGATGAAGTCAAATGTTCCGTATCAATTTCTCGTCTCCTTTTCACGGGCCCCAAACCATCATTAACCGAGATTCAGAATTGAAAATACATTTAGCCCCCTCCCCGGGATTTTCTTTTAAATTTATCTCAAGCATGTCAAAAAATGTGCATAAAACTAACAAATGAAATTAAATACTGAGCAAAGATAGATTTATGTGAATTAAAATAATTATTGAATATTAAGTCTGTACAATGTATATGTATAGAACTTCATTTCTTTTTTTTTTTTTTTTTTTTATCTTAGTACTGCAATGTCCTATTTTGCTAAATAGATTTTTTTCTTCAATTTTCAATTTTATTCGTCAACAAATTGAATATTACAGGATATTTTTTTTCTGTGCGACCGTAAAGATTTTCCTGCTCAAAGAAGAAAGTACATGTACAGTGTAGGTAGTTTTTTTTATTATGTACACCGGTGGCCGCAGACGAGGAACAATAGGAAATTAGTGCCCATTGTTACGCTGACCACTACAATTTACATGGAATATACATGTTGTACCCCGTTCTACCCCGGGGCAGAAGACTTGTACACAATACAGCCAAATCAGAGACTGATCTTCGATTTTTGATCAATGAAGATCAATTTATTCCAAGCAATTTTTGACCACACAAGATTAAAATCGATCAATTTGATCATATACATGTACTTTATTAAGTAAACATATTATATTAGGTCTCATTTCTTATTTCAAATTCCAAAAAAATTAAATTAATGAGATTTTAATACTTATTGAATAAAAGTGTTTCGTGTCATGAAATTTTAAGAGACCAACATCAAAATAACATAAACACATGTGTACCTTCGCTCTGACACTGGGGATTCTGACCATGCACTAATTTTTGATCAGCCCCCAAATGTGCCGGTTGCACATGTATGTATCGTGTACATGTAGATGTAGAAGAGATATTCTGGAAGAATCTAAAATGCCTATATTACGTTCAAATATAAATGAATGAATGAATGAATAAATAAATAGATAAATAAATAAATAAATAAATAATCTGTGCCTCCTAATTGAACATATTCTTCTCTGTTTTCATCTCTTTATTAAATTTAAAAATGCATAAAATTTCTAATTTTTGAGCAAATTTTCAAATATCTTGACAGAGACGAGAAAACCGAACATTTAAAAATGAAAAATATAAATGTCTTTGAGAAAGAAAAAAACAAAAATAGCTACATGAAAGGTCATCTTTAAAAAGAAAATGGCGTCTTCTCTTGACCAGTTAACGGAGTGATACCGTGCGAATCAAACTTTTCTAACCTGCAGGAAATATTTTTTTATCTCGAATTTTTTTCCATCCATTAAGAACTATAATTTCTTATTATTGAAAAAAAAAATCACCGACCTCCCTACCCAGATATCTTGGAGTCGAGAGAGGACGGCGATGAATCTTTTTAAAAGATAGCCTTGTTTTCTTTTTATTTACAGTACATTAATAAAATTCCATTTATCTTGCTTACAGATAAATTATCATATTATTTTCATAGATTGGTAGAAAACATTTGCTTAATATACGCGAAAGGTTTCATTTATTTATTGTCAATCTGCCGGTTGCACATGTATGTATCGTGTACATGTAGATGTAGAAGAGATATTCTGGAAGAATCTAGAATGCCTATATTACGTTCAAATGAATGAATAAATAAATGAATAAATAAATAAATAAATTAATATTAAATAAATAAATTAATTAATTAATAATCTGTGCCTCCAGATTGAACATATTCACCTCTATTTTCATCTCTTTATTAAATTTAAAAATGCAAAAAAATTCTAATTTTCGAACAAATTTTCAAATATCTTGACAGAGACCAGAAAACCGAACATTTAAAAATGAAAAAAATGTCTTTGAAAAAGAAAAAAAAAAGAGCTATATGAAAGGTCATCTTTAAAAAGAAAATGTCGTCCTCTCTTGACCAGTTGACGGAATGAAACCGTGCGAATCAAACTTTTCTAACCTGCAGGAAATATTTTTTATCCCGAATTTTTTTCCACCCATTAAGAACTATTTCTTATTATTATTAAAAAAAAACAAAAACAAAACAAAAACAAAAAAAAAAAAAAAAAGAAACAAAACAAAAACAAAACAAAACAAAACATCCCCGACCTCCTTACCCAAATATCTTGGAGTCGGCAGATGGCGGCGATGAATCTTTTTAAACGATAGCCTTATTTTCTTTTTGTTTACAGTACATTATTAAAATTCCATCTATCTTGCTTACAGATAAATTATACTATTTTCATAGATTGGTAGAAAACATATGCTAAATATACGCGGAATGTTTCATTTATTTATTGTCAACATTTTCACAACCGTATTCTAGTAAATGAGATCAGCGTAATTTTTGTCACTAGCAGAACATTTAAAGAAATATGAAAATGTCGTAATGATAATTTATAATTAAAAGAAAGAAATAATTGAAGGTTTTTACAGCCCTCAGTTCTTCTTTAGCCCTTACCAGCTTAAGAACAAAGACCACAGTAATTATCAGTAAATCTCAGCATCGACAGCACATCAACAGTATTTATCAGTATTTATCAGACTCCACAGTAAAGACGACAGTAATTATCAGTATTTATCAGAAACAACTAAAATTATCAGCAACGACAGTAATAATAACAGTAAATATCAGTATTTATCAGCAAGAACAGCACCGTATCAGTAATTATCAAACATTTTCAGTAAAATTTGGGATTCTCAGCACATTTTTCGTTCAGTAGTGTCTTGAAGTTTCCCCTTCACTACTGTTAATATCTTAGTGAGGAGTAAAGAAAGAGGCTTGGTTGAACATTTATTGGAACCCGCTATGTATCTTTGTAAGGATTTTTATGAAGTTTCGGAATCCAATATAAATATGGTAATTCAAATTCATTTTGATTGTTTAGAATATTAAAAATATTCAAAACTGACATATGATTTTGAAGAATGTCTTCCTTAGAAAGGAAACTATGAGTATAAGTTGAAACTTATTGCATTTGTGATATAATGGGAAAACCTTTTCAAAAATGTTATATATATGTATATTGTGATGAAGAGGATAATCTTCATGTCTTTCAATGTCTTTTAATGCTAGTTTCCAAAAAACAGGGGGGAAAAAATGAAAATTGTGAAAACTCAAAAATCCCTATTTCGTGGGGAAGGGGTTAAGGGATTGCACTGTTTTCAACATGATAAACATTTCCGTAAATAACTTAGGATGATCTGACCTTACAAGAAAATGGAGGAGGATGGGGTTGTGACTTTCAATTAACATTTCTATGGTATTAATTAGGGGACAACATTCTGATCGGAAGAAATGAATCGGAGGGGGGACAGACATGACTGTATTTCTGAAAGATTACCTCTCTGTTATAACATACTAACCTTAACTCATAAACCCTTGAATGATATGTATATAAACTAGAAACTGTTATAGACCATCGCCCTTTAGAGTATCATGACCTTGAAATAAAGGTTAAATCTAAATGTTAAAATTCACAGGGAAAATGAAATATTGAAAATTCTCGTCGGTCAAAAAAAAAAATGTACATATTTTATTCGGCAACCCTCTGCTTGATCAGATTGTATTCACACTATTCTTGTTGAAGCTTAAACATTTTATAAAATATTTACTTCAACTAAAGATATTTGTTTTCAATTCTTATAGGTCACTGTGCTGAGTACAACACAAGAGGAGGGAAAATACAAGAATTTTACCTTCAGAACTGTAAAACATGCAAAAAAGACTACATGTCAGCTGAGGCATATAAGTGTATGTATTCTGTTTTATACATGGGGCGCGTGATCATTTAGAGGTGGAAATTTGTAATTTGAATTTCGTGCCATTGTTTTAATTTTATTTAAATTTTATTTAGAGCTCATAAGATCAAGGAAGTAGGAAATTTGACTCGTTCTATTTTCAAGTTTTTACACATATTCAAAGAAATATTCACTATTAATATGGAACTTGTTTTTCATTGCTTGTCGTTGATTAAAAAAAATATTGAATATTTAATATCGTTTAGTTTAATTAATATATATGTTTCTTGTTTACTTTTCATAGTGATGAAAAACAATAAATTCTTCATATTAGATTTTCCAACACGAGTGCTTTTTTTATAGTAATAGAAATAAATTTCAAATTTCCTTATTCTTTTAAACAATATTTCTTTGTATAAAAAATTTACTGCAATAAACTATAGCTTGCAGTAGTGAACTTTAATTATCTCGAGCGATAACGGAAAGTATCGAAAGTTTAATTACCTCTTGTGATAACTTTTACACGTCTGCCAATACAAAGAATAGAAGTGAATAAAAGCTTATTTTTAGCGAATGATGTAATAGGTTATATTTTAAAAATGTTCAATTTATGAGATGTAACATTGGTTATTGGGACATGAAACAGGTGAAGATAACGAACAGTGATTGATAACAAAAATCTAGAAACAATACAAATCTTTGAACAGAACACATAAAACGCGGATCATCAGGAATTAGAGAGCATAACATATAAAGCGTACTCACGCTATAAACATTAAATTTGAGCTTCAAACAAGTTAAAACTGTATATCTTTCAAACTCGAGATCAGTTGGAAACGCAGCTATGTTAAGGCTTCCCGAAGCTTTAAAATGCGCTCAAAGCATAATATGTCATTGCGAGGTCGGTTTTGGTTTTAATTTATAAGCATTTAACTTTAGTACTTCCAGTTTATATAGAGGGTTTCCTCGGCTATATATTAACATATTTATTATAACATTACATGACTTTGTTGATCACGTGAAGGTCATTTCCAATTTTTTGAAGTGTTTCATATAAATCGCTTCGGTGCAGCTGATTAACACAATAATTATTAATATTTTGTTATATAAATAAACTCATTGTATCCTTTTGTATCCGAAATGCGCTTGGGAAAAGTCATAGTATTACTTAGATACAAAATATTTCCTGAGTACATGTAATTCAACTTATCTACAAATTTGAGGGTATTTTTCACACAATATCGTAATCTGTATTAAAACAAAGCCAACGCACATTTTCCCAAGCAAGATTCAGTTAGAGAACAACGTCTTCTTACAGATTTCCACAAAAATTCTCAAATTAATCCTCATTAATCACCTGCGCCAGACTCTTTTATACACACAAAATAAATTCTACCTCCAACCACGGGTATAAAACAGAGTACATTTCAAAAGTATATTTTTCATAAGCATTTTGAACATGCTGAATTTCAATCAAGGGTAGGTAAGCGGTGTATTTTTAAAATATTCGGACATATAAGACTTAAAAAAACCTTTAACAACCCGTGAGTTTTGCAATAGCTAAATAGCATTTTAGATGCAGTTCGAAATAAAGTGTAAAGTTCATGACACTCTCCCCGTCATATCACCTCAAGTTTGCAGTGACTTGACGTCATTTTCCATTATGACGTCATATGTTGGTAGTTCAGAGATGTGAAGGTACAGAGTGCACTGTGATATCCTACGGGAAGCCTTAACTTGCCTGCGAATTGTTTTACAATTTTCTATTAATATTTTCTGCTATAAAATTTCAATCATAAAAACATGTGTTGCACCATATTTTTGAAGTAAACGTATAAAGTTGGACACTGTAAGGTAAAATAACAAGTAGAAATAGATTTCTACAATATATATTTTATAACTGATGATAGCAATCGATGCAATCTTGAACATTGTTTTACAGACCAAGAATGCTACTTAGAAGTGTACAAGCTAAATCAAATGCAAACAATAGGGACCCATCTTTTCAACAAGATCACCAAAACACATTCTGAAAGTGAAATAATGTACACATTTAAACAGAAAATGCCCCAGCAATATACCAATCCAACCAATGAGGAAAACAAACGAGAACAAGAGCAATCAACAACAAGTTTTATTATCAACAAGAACTACAATAAACATCGGGAAATTGAACTTGGGTAAAGGTTTTTATACCCCACGCAACAAGTTGCGTGAGGTATAATGTTTTTGACCCGTCCGTGCGTCAGTCAGTCAGTCAGTGTGTCAATCAGTCAGTCAGTCAGTCCTGTTTTTTTTTTTTTTTTTTTTTTTTTTTTTTGTCAGCGTAACTCCTCATAAACCGCTGCACAGAAAAAACCGTCAAACTGCAGATATTTAGCACACAATGTGTAGATGTGCATATTACCAGGAAATTCCGATTCCTTTATTTTTTCTGGGAATTTCGGCACTTTTCAACTTAGATTTTTGACCATATCTTGAATATAGATATGAACAGTTTGTCAGCTTTACTCCTCTTAAATCGCTGCATAGAATTTCGTCAAACTTTGCAGAAATTTAGCACACAATGTGCAGATGTGCATATTATCAGGAAATTCTGATTCCTTTATTTTTCTGGGATTTTCAGCACTTTTCAACTTAGGTTTTGGCCATATCTTGAATATAGAGATGAACAGTTTGTTAGTGCAACTCCTCTTAAAACCGTTTCACAGAATTTCGTTAAACTTTGCAGATATTTAGTACACAGTGTGTAGATGAGCATTTTACCAGGAAATTCTGATTCCATTATTTTTGCCCTAAGAGTTTTGCCTATTATTGAAGAAACTTTTTAGCTAAGTACATTGTAATAAGGAAATCCACTGGAATCAGCTTTTGTAATGAAATTTTATGTGAAATATTTTATGACCTTAAAAGACCCCTATTGATTTTGAGATCAAAATATTAATGATTTAACACACACACACACACACACACACACACACACACCCTCACACACACACACACACACACACACACACACACACACACACACACACACACACACACACACAATCTTGGATAGTTCCCTCCTCCCCCCCCCCTTCAAATTGGTGCTTTGCTTTAAATAATTTCATAAGTAGAGTGTATAAACAAATTCATATGACTTCAATCAGTTATTTAAATGTGTAAATTGTCATGTGTGGGACATGGACTTACAATCATTAACAAATCGAAATCACTGAGGAATTTAGATAACAGTTTGTCAGCATAACTCCTGCACTGAATTTCCTAAAACTCTGTAGGTATTTAAGACATAATGTATAGATTTGTATATTACCAAGAAATTTTGCAAGTAATGCCCCTTTTTGAATTATACTGTGTACCGGTATTTAAAATGCACTGTGCCATTCATTACGTGTTGCATTGTCGAGTTTTGGGGGAGCGTGGGGTATGTGCTTGCTCACTTTTTCTTTTATTTAGGGATCATTTCATTGCAGAATGGCTATAAAAATATTGCTGACAGCTCAAAGTTCTCCATGGGCGTTAAACGTGGTGGCCCCGTCATAGTTAAACACCTTAGCACCTCAGTAAAAAATCAGAGTCATAGCTTCCCCACAGTAAAATATCGCCGCAGTAAAATGAAAATGAACCTTCAAATTATATACTGTTTTTTCCGGTTCTAATGCTTAACCGTTATTATTATATTATTATACATGTAATTATAGGGCCCATTATTTGGCTTGCACAATTAAGTATCTTCTAAATCTTGCTGGACTTTTCCCAGTAATGAAAAGAAACTAGTTATTTTTTTACACTTCCAAGTAATTGCAAATGAAATTTTTAATACCAATTAATTACTTAGCTTTACAGTACATTACTCGTCTCTAAAATTGTATTGACACTGTTAGTCAAAAATCGTACGTGTATCGTATTCTTGTGTTGGTGTAATATTGACAATATTGACGATATTAACGATAGATCCATTAGATAAGTATTTTATGACTGAATTTGAATTGATTTTCAGGTCACCTAAGTCACTCAGGTGACCTATTGCTATCCGTTTTTGTCCGTCGGCGTGCGTCGTGCGACGTGCGTCGTGCGATGTGCGTTAACATTTGAACATTTTTAGCTTCTTCTCTGAAACCGCTCAACCAATTTCAACTAAATTTGGCATATAGCATCTATGGGTGAAGGGGAACAAAAATTGTGAATTTCATGGTCCCTGCCCCCCTGGGGCCTGAGGGGTGGGGCTAAAACCTCCAAAATTACTGCAATCTTTAAAAATCTTCTTTTTTACTCCTGGACATCAAGCAGTCAAATTGTTGGCATCATTGTAATAAGCATTGAGTTCTCTACCAAAATTGTGAAATTCATGGCCCCAGGGTCAGGGGTTCTGGTGCTAGGGCGGGGCTATATAGATCATATAGTGAAAGTGCATTATTTCTTTGAAAATCTTCTTCTCTGCTCCTGGGTATTAAATAAACTAACTAAGTACATAGTTATGATGAGTAAGAGTGACTCTTCCAAAATTGTGAAATTCATGGCCCCAGGGGCAGGGGTTCTGGTGTTAGGGTGGGGCTCTATTGATTATATAGTGAAAATGCATTAATTCATTGAAAATCTTCTTCTCTGCTCCTGGGTATTAAATAAACTAACTAAGTACATAGTTATAATGAGTAAGAGTGCCTCTTCCAAAATTGTAAAATTCATGGCCCCAGGGGCAGGGGTTCTGGTGTTAGGGCGGGACTCTATTGATTATATAGTGAAAATGCATTAATTCATTGAAAATCTTCTTCTCTGTTCCTGGGTATTAAGTAAACTAAGTAAGTACATAGTTAGGATGAGCAAGGGTGCCTCTTCCAAAAATGTAAATTTCATGGCCCCTTGGTCAGGGGTTCTGGTGTTAGGGCGGGACTCTATTGATTATATATTGAAAATGCATTAATCCTTTGAAAATCTTCTTCTCTGCTCCTGGGTATTAAATTCAGTAACTAAGTACATAGTTATGATGAGCAAGAGTGTCTCTTTCAAAATTGTGAATTTCATGGCCCCTGGGTCAGGGGTTCTGGTGTTAGGGTGGGGCTCTATTGATTATATAGTGAAAATGCATTAATTCTTTGAAAATCTTCTTCTCTACTCTTGGGTATTATTGAAACACATTAAATACATAGTTATGATAATCAAGGATGCCTCTTTCAAAATTGTGAAATTCTTGGCCCCTGGATCAGGGGTTCTGGTGTTAGGGCGGGGCTCTATTGATTATAAAGTGAAAATGTTTTAATTCTTTAAAAATCTTTTTCTCTGCACCTGGGTATTATTTAAACAAACTAAGTACATTGTTATGATAAGCAAGGATGCCTCTTCCAAAATTGTGAAATTCATGGCCCCGGGGAGAGGAGTTCTGGTGCTAGGGCGGGGCTATATAGATCCTATAGTGAAGGTGAATTATTTCTTTGAAAATCTTCTTTTCTGCTCCTGGGTATTGCTTAAACAGACTAAAGTACATTGTTATGATACACAAGGATGACTCTTCCAAAATTGTGAATTTTATGACCCCAGGTTTAAGGGTTCTGGTGAGGGGGGGGGGGGGGGGCTTCTATTGATTATAAAGTGAAAAAGCAAAATTTCTTTGAAAATATTCTTTTCTTCTTCTGGTTAAAAAAGCAAAGAAGCTAAGTGTATAGTTATGATGAGCAAGTGTGCTTCTTCCAGAGTAGTGAATTTCATGACCCCTGGGTCAGATGTGCTGGTGTGAGGGTGGGGCTCTTGATAATTTAGTGAAAATGCATTAATTCTATTAAATAATCATGTTTGCTCCTTAGTGTAAAGCAGATAAACAAAGTGATGATGAGCAAACATATGGTCCCAGGGTCAGAAGCTCTGGTGTTTTGGGGGTGGGGGGTTGGGGGGTTGGGGTTGGGGGCTCTATTGATAATATAGTGAATCTGTAGTAAAAATGCATTATTTATTTAAAAATCTTCTCCGTACCTGGGCATATCTGAGGCAAACGGAGTAAAAGTTTTTATAAGGAAGGGAATTTTTACCAGATTTTTGAACATCTGGACCATTTGGTCAAGTGTTCTGGTCCTGGCCAGGGCTCTATTAGTTTGTATTCTACTGAGAGGAGTTATTCCCCTTTGCCATTTACTTTTCATAATTTATCACTGTAAATAATGTACTTGAAAGGTAAATAGAATAAGAGAATTATGCAAAAACTTTTATTGTATAATACAAAAAGTACTTTCATAGTTTTAATGATCAGATAGACTTGTAAGTAGTAGATAAATAAAAATGAGACAAAATTAACTTGTCTTATTAAATATTCATCAAAGACCAAGAGATGCCAATGTAAGAGATTTCAACAAGGAATTAAAATAGTACAGAAGCATTGATAAGTTGTTAATATACTGTATAGTGATAGTGATAAATGGGGAACAGATAAGAACCTAATTTATGAACTGTTAATGAATATTAAGACCAATTATTTTGTTGATCACGATCACCCTATTTTTCTTGCTTTTGGGCAACAATGCTTCACCTTTCAGTTCATTTTATACTCTATGCATCCTTGAAATTGTTGTATCATTCTCAGGTGACCGTTAAGGCCCTTGGGCCTCTTGTTATATTTGCCATATGATTGATATTATTTGTGCATTAAAATAGCGACTAGTTTGAGACTCAACAGATTTATTTTCAATTTATTTCTTCTAAAATTCGGTTGCAAAATGACTGAAAATATTAGGGCATTTACTCTTGCGTCAGACTTAATTTCAAATGGTGGTAAACCCTGTGTCTTATTCATATACTGAGTATGAAAACACATTGTAGTAGGAAACCTATATTTTAACTGGATAAACTATACTTTGTTCATTTTTTGTGTCTATACACCACTATTAGTGCTGTAATCATCGAATGTGAAAATATATAGTCGTTCTTTATTCTATAAATATTTCTTTTTCTCCAGCGAAATGATTATCCATTTGATTTTGTTTGTTACAGAATCATGGCTAATATCCATAGCGGAAACGGTGTCATCAAAGGGAAGATGTTACATCTGTGCGTCATTCTGCTACATTTTAGGGCTTTGTTTTAAATTTATCGTTTTCATATATCATTGTACATAATTCTTTAAGTTGCATAGGATATGATAGGCATAAAAAGATTGATTTGAAGAGAAACCTACGAAATTTTTAAATGTCTACAGTCGTATTTCTTTCATTTACTTTTTATAAAGACTGAAAAACAAGGGGATAACTTTTCTCGAAATAACGATGTCAAGTACTAGCAAGTATCATCATTTCAAATTCAATCAGGATACATTAATTCTTTGAATATTAGATTTGTGTCTATTAATGGTACTTTTTTGTTTTCCCATTTTTTGTCGTAGTTTGAATCAATTGACTAGTTTTTTTTAAATAAAACCTTACGAATGGCTTCTAGTATATGTGATATCAAAATATTATTATAACTGTAAAAAAAAAAAAGAGTTACTTTTGTCTTTCTTGCAACATAAAATAACTTTTTCAAAAGCAAATGAGTTGATTATATTTGTAAGCTTATAGCACAGGAAACAACTTTATTAAATCGAAAAAATAAATTGCAACACTTTGTCATCTTTATGATACATGGAACTCTGTAATTTGTTTTTTACAAAAAAAAAAAAAAGAAAGAGGAATTTTTACTATATCAAATTAATCTTGATAGCTTAACATTAATTTCACATTAAAGATAAAAGATTGGTCATCCAGTACCTACACATGTATGTAATTTAATTTGACAGTCTATAATTAATAAATTACAAATTACCTCAAAAACTTCGTATGCAGGAGGGTATAATGATACAATAGAAATGTATGAATGAAGAATAAGTAACTATATTTTTTATCATGTAGAAGCTTACAAAAATAAGTTAAAAGAGCAAAGTGCACTCATCATTATTCTATCGGCAATTCTAGAAAATAAAGGATGTATAAAGGTGTTAACATGAGATTAAAAAGAATATCACATAATTGCATGTACATAATGTATATTAGTAAGCACCAATATAAACAAAAAATGTTTTAAAAAACATATTTCATTTGATTAAGAAAAGGATAAAATTGTAGATTAATTTTTTTTGTGAGTAATAAATATCACAAAAGGACAACAATATGTCAAATTATGAAAATATGCATTAACGATTTAACTCCAGCTCTGCATTTTTAACACGTATTTCAGCCATAAAAATTAAAAGCTAGTAACTTTATTTCGTATGTAGTGCATCTCGCGAATCTACACAATAATAAATTCCTCACGTATTTATAGAATCTTGAGTATTATTATGTGTAATCCAGAAAAGACAATGTAGTTCACTCCTGCACTATCGAGACTCTTAAGTCAATGACACGATAATGCCATGATGTAATAATGATGACGCGATGCAGCGATGACGATGATGCAATGACAAAATGATGCAATGACGCTGGTGTGATACAATGTAGTACAACAGGGCGATAGTGATGGATCCATCGTATCGCTATCATATCATTGCGTCATCGCACTATCGCTTCATCGTATCATCGCATCATCATTACCAAATTATCGCGCCACCGCATCATAACACATAGTGGCTTGTCTTCCGAACTATGAAATGTAAAATAAATTAATAAAATGTTGTTTCTACTTCAATACACTTAAAAACTTATTTCAATAAAGATTTTGACACTTTCAGACAAGAAAAAACATTAAAAGGAAAACACCACACCTATATACATAAACTCTGAAAGGGAGGCAATCTGCTATCTTAGAAAATATACCCCATCCACTTAGCACCTGTTTCTGTACTCTAATCTTAAAATTTATTTCATTATCAAAGTGGGCTTTACTACATCGCTAATTTACCTAAATGCTGGTGTGGTTGTCGGTCATCGCACTTGACAAATCAAAAGAAAAGGGAAAAAAATTCTTCGATTCGAAGGCTCATCTTGTTTTGTAGAATTGAGAGACCTATGAATTAATGTCTTCCACGAAATGAAATTCAAATATAAAACAGCCAAGCATTTCCTTCAGTCACAAATCTAATCCCCTTGAAAAACTTTATTTTTTTAAACCACGAAAAAAATGCCCCCGCAAAAATTTGTGGTCCAAAAATATACCACATTTTTATTTTTTGGATAACCCATGCTCATTAATGTATGAAGAGTTATATCACCATGTGTTCTTGTTGATGGCGTATTTTGGAGAGGAATGCTATTTTAAATATCATTTCTTTTTAATTGAAAAAAATGTCATTTTCAGTGTTTGGAGCTATCAATGGAAATGGAATCCTGTGCTGATAATTTTGCATTTCTCTTGTTCTTCTCAGTCACCTTATGTCAATAACAGTCAATAACAGTAAGTTTGCAAATAGGCTATCCCTAATGTAAGAAATAGTGCAAAAATTCTACATTTCCTCGACAGTGTGCATTATGTCCATTTTTAGACGAGTATATTTAAGAATATTTCCATTTCTATTTGTTTTCTCTCTGATAACTCTTTGAAAGTTAGGTGAGTTGATTTCTTGATCATTCTAAATGAATGCAAATTTTGCCAAGCGAAAGGTCAGTAGCTAAGAAGGCCTAATATGCATGTAATTCTCGTGCAGCTGTCTTTGTGTCTGACTCTAAGGAGGCCTAATATGCATGTAATTCTCGTGCGGCTGTCTTTGTGTTTGACGTCAGTGGGCGGGGACTATTGAAATTGACATGTCAGGTCTCGTGTAATTTAAATCTATTAGTCTACATTTTTAAAATATAAATTTACAATTTTATTTCACAATGAAATGGAAATATAAGGAATCAATGTCTAGTTAGTAGAGTATGCCAGGGACATCAACGATAGTTGGAAACGTGGGATAATTTATGCATAACGGGCTTCGCCCGTTATGCAAATTATCCCACGTTTCGCCCGTTATGCAAATTATCCCACGTTTCCAACTATCGTCCTATCATACTCTACTAACTAGACAGTGATTCCTTAAATAGAAATAGAAACATCTGCTGATCATTCTGAATTTTAGTAAATGCTGTCTTGTTCTTGTCTGTCCTTTATGTCAACAACAGTTAATAACATTTAATATGCAAAATGTCCATCCCTAATGTGAGAAATAGTGAAAAAATCTACATTTCTTTGATTATTTGCAATATGTCTATTTTTAGACATTGTTGCTATGAATAGAAATGAAAACCCCTCTGATAATTCTGCACTTCAGTTAATGCTGTCTTGTTCTTGTCAGTCAAATTATTATACCTGCACTTTCTAAAGAAAGTTCGGGTATATTGTTGCTACTCATGTCCGTCCGTCCGTCAGTCTGTCACACTCTTCTTTCTCAAACTCCTCTTACATTTTACACAGTAGCCTAGTCATCTTTTAAGAGGTGGTTGGTGGTGTCATGTAGATGTGCAGTAAGGTTTCGGAATTTTCATTTTCACTCTGGAGGTCACCTGGGGGTCAAAAAATAATGTTTTCTATTCAAAAAGCAACTGGTTAAATTGGGGTCATAAAATGACGCTTTTTATGCAAAAAGCCCCTGGTTCCCTGAACTCCTCTTACATTTTACACAGTAGCCTAATCATCTTGGAAGATGGTTGGTGGTGTCATGTAGATGTGCAGTAAGGTTTCGAAATTTTCATTTTCATCCTGGGGGTTAAATTGAGGTCATAAAATGACGCTTTTTTATGCAAAAAACCCTGGCTCCCTGGACTCCTCTAAGATTTTACACAGTAGGCTAATCATCTTTTAAGAGATGGTTGGTGGTGTCATGTAGATGTGCAGTAAAGCTTCGGAATTTTCATTTTCACTCTGGAGGTCAAATGGGGGTCAAAAAAAAAAAGATGTTTTCTATTCAAGAAGCAACTGGTTAAATTGGGGTCATAAAATGACGCTTTTTATGCAAAAAGCCACTGGTTCCCTGAATTCCCCTTTCATTTTACACAGTAGCCTAATCATCTTGTGGGAGATGGTTGGTAGTCTCCTGTAGATATGCAGTAAGGTTTCGAAATTTTCATTTTCACCCTGGAGGTCAAATGGGGGTCAGAAAATGATGTTTTCTATTCAAAAAGCCACTGGTTCACTGAACTCCTCTTACATTTTACACAGTAGCCTAATCATCTTGGGAGATGGTTGGTGTTGTTATGTAGATATGCAGTAAGGTTTCGGAAGTTTCATTTTCACCCTAGGGGTTTAATTGGGGTCATAAAATGACGTTTTTTTTTTATGCAAAAAGCCCCTGGTTCCCTCAACTCCTCCTTCATTTCACACAGCATCCTAATCATCTTTCAAGAGATTGTTGGTAGTATCATGTAAATGTGCAGTAAGGTTTCGGAATTTCCATTTTCATCCTGGGGGTTAAAGAGGCTGGGGGGTTGTGGCCATTTTTAGACTATATTGATCTCCTTTAGAAGAAGAGCTCCATATGAAGATATAGAAAATGATCAAATTTTAAAACTAAAATTTTTGAAATTTTTCTTTGCCAAATGATAGTTGACAGCTTAAGATATCATATCTAAAAAATTAAGTTAAATCTGGTGGTTAATTTGTTGACCCCCAGCCTCCTTAAATTGGGTTCATTAAATGACGCTTTTTATGCAAAAAACCCTGGCTCCCTGGACTCCTCTAATATTTTACACAGTAGCCTAATCATCTTTTAAGAGATGGTTGGTGGTGTCATGTAGATGTGCAGTAAGGTTTCGAAATTTTCATTTTCATCCTGGGGGTTAAATTGGGGTCATTAAATGACGCTTTTTATGCAAAAAACCCTGGCTCCCTGGACTCCTCTAATATTTTACACAGTAGCCTAATCATCCTTTAAGAGATGGTTGGTGGTGTCATGTAGATGTGCAGTAAGGTTTCGAAATTTTCATTTTCATCCTGGGGGTTAAATTGGGGTCATTAAATGACGCTTTTTATGCAAAAAACCCTGGCTCCCTGGACTCCTCTAATATTTTACACAGTAGCCTAATCATCTTTTAAGAGATGGTTGGTGGTGTCATGTAGATGTGCAGTAAGGTTTCGGAATTTTCATTTTCATCCAGGGGGTCAAATGGGGGTCGAAAATGACGTTTTTTTTATACAAAAAGCCCCTGATCACCGAACTCCTCTTACATTTTACACAGTAACCTAATGATCTTTTAAGAGATGGTTGGTGGTGTCAGGTAGATGTGCAGTAAGGTTTCGGAATTTTCATTTTCATCCTGGGGGTGAAATGGAGGTCGAAAAATGACTTTTTTGTGCAAAAAGTCCCTGGTTCCCTGAACTCCTCTAAGATTTTACACAGTAGCCTAGTCATCTTTTAAGAGAT